ATCAGGCTACTTTCGTCCACCGCGCTGTGACAAAGGTCAACAGTATGCCGTTCGCCTTGGACGATCTTATCGGATATCGGAGATTTACCCTTGGGATTATCGACAACCCGGATTCTTCATTTCGCCAGAAGTGGGCTGGGAGTGGCCTGATCTACCATATGCCACCGCCCAAGGTCCTTATCGTTCATTCTGAGAGATACATGTCTTTCACACCGAGAAACACTTATCAGTTTATGATCCCCCAGCAGCCCCTCCCTTTCATTCAGCGGCACAATGTCGACCCAGCATTCACGGAAAGGGCACGTACTTCGGATCACCGGCAGGCCGCACTAGCCATGCTTGAAGGCAAGACTGTGGGTGTTCTCCGCAACCAGGGCACCATGCAGCAGCTGATCGAATACGCCAAACGGAGAAAGTGTGTGTGCCAATCGGCCTGCAGTTGCGGCCAGGATTGTACCCAGGATCCGGACCGTCTCTGCCCCTGCGCGGAGTGGAATATGATCCTGTTACTGAGTCAGGTTAACGCAAACCGTGGGACTCTTGGAATTCGCGACCGGTGCACGGTTCTTTCGAAGGCCGTGTTCCAAGAGCTTTCTTCCATCCGGGAAGATGTTGACGTCTTTGTGATCGGATTGGCCCTGAACCGGGCTGTTAGGATCTTCGGCGAAGAGATGCAGAAAGAATTATTTGCCGGCATCATTTAAATTCAAAAGACTGCAATTGAGTAGCTGGTCTGGTCTTTACTGGCGTTTGGTGGCATGATGACGGCGTTGAGGCATACCATGGAGTTGAGGGGTGTGATTGCTTTTTCTTTCTTTGCTGAGATTACGTTGATTTTCCTTAGTCCTTTCCCTTCTGAGTAGACATGCCTGACGATCATCATATTTCCGGCGATCTCGTATCTGTGCAACGAAAAGTGTTGGGAAATATGAGTGATTCCGAAGGAAAGTGAGCATCATGTCCGATCAGTGGATGGTTCATCGATGAGGTAGATATATCTATACATGGTTTACATAGGAGAGAGAGGGTGATCCGTATGAATTAGAAAAGAAATTGAACATGCAACCTTGTGGTATAAAAAGTAAAGGGATATAATAAATATGGGCCATCTGCAAGCCGATACTAGTCTAGCTCGTGTTACCTGGCAGTATGGTTGCGTCGGTGTGTGGGGGTGATGTCAATTTGTATGGGGAAGAGAAGGAAGGGGAGATGGGGTGGTAGTGAATGGAATGTAATTTTCTAAGATACGTAGCTCATAATTTCAATTCAAGCTCAAGTTTAAGCTCAAGCTTCTCCTGTCATTTTCTCAACAACTTTTGTAGATACTTACTCTCAACTGGAACAAACCCAAAGTCAGGTGGGGCGCAGGTGACCGGGGATGGGGCAAAGTTGGTCAGAAAGTTGGCCGTGGTTCGCAAGTCGGCAAGATTTTCATTTGACTCTGGCCAAAATCCAGCTTCCCGAGAAAAAAAGAGTCTGTCTGTATCTGCGCTTGTCTGGGATTCCCGCCCGGCACAGCAATCTCTGGGAAACTTTTAGCGGGCATGGTGCCTAAGACTCTTGTTGTTAGTTCGACAAATTGTTTATCATTCTTCTCCTCTCCTCTCGCTTCGCCGGTAGTAATTAGACGCAGCCCACTGTGGAGCGCTCATTCCGGGGCCCCCAGCAGCATCTGGGTGCGACGATATCGCGCCGTTTGGCCTTCCTACGGCATCACCACCCCCATCCCGGATCCTAATCCACAGTTCCCCATCTCCCGCTCGCCTTTCTGCTTCCAGACAGGCTATGCTCTCTGCGCCAAACGGCCCTCGCGTCCCTTCCCCCCACCGTTCCTGTCTCCGCCCTCTTCCTCCTTTTCCGACCCGCTGACCACCCACTACCTGAGTCAGGATAAGAGATTATCCGTCCGGGGGGATCTGGTCCGCGGCCTGAACAACGGCGACGATGCTGTTTTAGTGGCGGAGAATTACCTCGCCGTGAACGATGGGGTCGGGGCGTGGGCAACCAAGCCGAGAGGTCATGCTGCGTACGTTGTTCTGTCCCTCTGTACTAGTCTCCGCGGACCCCTACTACCACTGACCCCAACTGGATCCCGTCTCATTCCCTTCCCGTGTGCTGACTTGCCCTTCTCTGTTGATATAGGCTTTGGTCTAGACTGCTCCTCCATTACTGGGCCCTGGAACTTGAACGAGAACCCAATGGCCAGTCCGAGTTAGATCCTATCGGCTATCTTCAACGCGCATACGAGGAAACCATTCGAGCAACGACCTCCCCAGGTGAATGGCTGGGAACTACTACATCCGTCACAGCAATACTGCACTGGAAGCGCGATGCTACGGGAAACATACGGCCCTTGCTCTACGTGACCAATATAGGTGACTGCAAGATCTTTGTCGTCCGGCCTAGCGAGAAGAGAATCGTCTTTCGGACCAAGGAACAATGGCATTGGTTCGACTGTCCTATGCAGCTGGGCACCAACAGCGTCGATACTCCCCAGAAGGATGCAGTCCTTTCCTTGATTGATGTGCAGGAGGATGACCTTGTGGTGGCCGTGTCAGATGGTATCGTGGACAATTTGTGGGAGCATGAGATCCTGACGATCATCCTGGATAGTCTGGAGAAGTGGCAGCACGGACGTCATGAAGACAAGGACTCGGAGTGGGCCCCTCCGGCTGTGATGGCGGACGAGCAGATGGTGTTTATAGCGAGGGAGCTGCTCAAGTCTGCTCTGGAGATTGCCCAAGATCCCTTTGCGGAGAGCCCGTACATGGAGAAGGCGGTGGATGAAGGACTGGCCGTGCAGGGTGGTGAGTATCTTCGCATACTGTTTCAGTGAGGTAAACTAATCTTGATGCAGGGAAAATGGACGATATCAGTGTGGTAATCGGCTCTTGCAGGAGGAGGACGTAATCGACCTATCTACCGGTGACCTGCACGCAGGCAGTGGGTTAGGGGGTGAAGCAGGGCTTACACATCTCATGTCAGCACGGAGTTGACTTGCACAGCGTTTCATACTTTGACTTCCGCACAAACCTACGTCTGGAGGTTTGTGACAGAGGGCGATCGACAAGATAGCAGATGTCCGAATCAACTTCGGCTCGGCCATCGGACAATCGCTTGATTACATTGCATACGCACTATATGTGCATGGCATGGGTGGTGTATATGTTGCATGTTGGGATCTGGGGCCCTTTCAGGACCGGTTCAAAGTGGGAGGTAATGGCGTTTGTGGGACATTTGACGTTTCGGGCTATATATAATCTACTGGCACAGCGACATAGACTATTGCTTATTATCATTGCATAAATACCCGTGACATATTCTACCAATCTATCAAACTTTACTTATTGGGCAAAGAGTAAACACGTACCGTCCTCCTACACCCTAATCAGTACATGGCCAACCCATTTTTTTTCAGCCATACACACTACCACACATACAACTAACTACACAATCCCCCCCCAATCACGAAATGAAACAAAAACAAAAGAGAAAAAGAAACTGCCTCCACGCGGGATCGAACCGCGGACCTCATCATTACTAGTGATGCGCTCTACCACTGAGCCATAGAGGCGATTTGAATGAAAGATTGCCCCATAATTGACTCCATCAACGGCCGCTTAGCCAGCCCACGCACAGACCAACATCCCGAGCTCTCTCCTCCGCCCGGCAAAAAAAAGTGACCGCCGCAGCAAAGAAAAAAAAGTCCAATTGCACCAACCCCAATTTCCATCACAGGTTATACATACTACATTTTAACGCACCTCAGACGAACAGACAGTCAAGATGAGGGCCAAGCGATCCAAGAAGTACCGCAAGCTCATGCACCAGTATGAGCTTACGTTCGGGTTCCGTGAGCCGTATCAGGTTCTGGGTATGCAGACATCCATTTATCCATCCATTGATACTATCATGTCAAGGATAAGAGTATACTGACTAGAAAATGTGACAGTTGACTCCAATTTCCTCCGCGCCGTTCACTCTTTCAAAATGGACTTGATTCCCGCTCTGGAGCGCACTCTTCAAGGCAAACCCAAGCCTCGTATGTTGCCCCGGATATCAACCATAACTACAATGAATCATCTAACGCAATCAAATAGTCCTCACAAAATGCTCCCTCGCCGCGATAATGGCCTCTCAACCCATCAATCCCAAAACCAACAACCCCTACCGCCCCGACCACCTCCCCCCACCCACCACTCTCCCTCTCCGCCACTGCTCCCACAACGCCGACTCGACCCCCATCGACGAAGTCGAGTGCCTGCTCTCCCTCCTCTCCCCGTCCGCCGAGAGCAAAAAGAACAAGGAACATTACATCCTTGCGACAGCGGACCCGCACAACGCCAAGGACAAGTCCGCGACGGACAACACGTCCGCTGGACGGAAACGGAAGCGCGACGCAGAGGATAAGGCCGAGGCGGCGCTTCGGAAGTCGAGGTTGCTGCGGCGTCAGGCTCGGTCGATTCCGGGCGTGCCGATTGTGTATGTGAAGCGGTCGGTGATGGTGTTGGAGCCGATGAGTGATCCGTCGGATGCGATTAGGGAGGGTGTGGAGAAGGGGAAGTTTAGGGTTGGGTTGAATGATGAGGCGAAGAAGAAGACGACGACGGCTGGGGATGGGGAGAAGACGAAAAAGAAGAGGGATTTGAAGAAGCCCAAGGGCCCGAATCCGTTGAGTGTGAAGAAGCCGAAGAAGAGGGCGCCTGAGGGTACCACTGCCGGGAAGACGGAGAAGCCGAAGAGAGAGGCTGAAGAGAGGCCTGCTGCGGAGGAGAGGGAGGGTGAGGATGGAGATGCTGCGCCGAAGGCGAAGCGCAGACGTCGTCATCATAAGGGCGGTGCTGGGAGGACGGAGGGTGATGGTGAGGGTGGTGCGGAAGCTGTTGCTGCTGCTGGTGCGCCGGCTGATGCCATGGATGATTGATTGCTTTGCTAAGGTGCTACTTTTCTTTTAACTTGACTTCATGGTACGGCGTTCGGCGGACGAGATAAAAAAGTGTCCATATGAATTGTGTATAGGTAGTTATCATCGATATTGATAGACGATTCCAACATCCAACATACCCATCCCAGCACAACACAACCCAAAGAAGCATAGTATACACCGAAGAAGCAGTAGCAGCATAAGAAGAGAGAATGATATGATATAGTATAATATAATCCCAAACGCCAATCAAAGTAAGCAACCCACATGCACCCAACCAGCCCATCAGACACATACATCAATCATATCATACACACCACCACCCCACCCTATCCCATCAACCAAGCGCAAAGTTACAGATTTATTTCTCCGCCGAACTGGAACTCGAACCAGAAGAAGCAGAAGCCAACGAAGAAATCGACCCCGTCTCCGCAAGCGCCTTCTCCTCAGCCCAAATCCGCTCGATCTTCTTGCGCTTCTCTTTCGCCTCATCCCGGTTGCGCTTTGCGCGCGCATACCGCTCCGCCGCTAGACATTTGTTCACGTCGCGCTTGACATCGTTGCATCCACCCAGAGCTTTGTGAATGAAGCCTCGTGCGTGGCATTCGTCGAGGGCGGTCATGATTTCTTCGCAGTCTGTTGGGGGAGGGGGTTAGTTGAGTGCTTGGTGTGGTATGATGTGATCTGATGTTGATGGTGGAGAGATGGGGGGGTTGTAACGTACTTGCGTTGTAGGGGGTGTGGAGGTGGGAATGCATCTTGACTGTTGTTTTAAACGGTATCCGTCTGCTGAGTGGGAATGTATGGAGATCTCAATTGAAGTTCTATATGTCAATCGGTCCTAACTGCATTAATGATCCATATATGGAAATGGAAGATCGATTTCTTTCCGTAAAAGCCGGGCGGTGAACGACTTATCGGGTATTATTCTGCCGGGCGGGGGAAAGAGAAAAAAAATTATTCTTTTTTTTTTTTTACTTTGAACCTCTTTGATTAGTTTTTAAACTAATTGCTTGTCGACGGGGAATTTCTTCTGTTGGCATTATTTTCTATTTGGACCTTTGTGAGGAATTGTGGTTTCCTCTTTTTGTGTCTTATATCTTTGTCCGAGTTTGTACCTGTATAGGTTGAGCAAATCGCCTACGGCAGGATCTCCACAATCTTTCTTCTTTTTTTTTCTTTTTCTATTCACGATTGATTGCTTCTCACGATGTCTATGATTACTACTTCCGCTTGGGTGCGGCGCGGAGTCGCCGCCCAGTTCCCTACGAAATATGAGATCAACGAGGAGGAAATGGATCGCATATCGAAGCTTGCGCGCATGCAGCTTGAAGAGGCGCAGGGTGATTTGAAGGCTGCGCAGGAGGATGAGGAGATGGAGGAGGATGATAAGAAGGAGGGTGCGGATGATGCTATGGAGGATGATTCTAAGGAGGAGGAGAAGGTTGAGAAGAAGGATGGTGCTGCGGAGTGAGTTTTCCTGTTGTATACCATTTGATTGGATTTGCGGCAAAGAATGAAAGATAGGGGCGAATGCTAACATTTGATGATGAAAGTGACGATGATGACCTCAAGGAATACGATCTGGATCACTACGACAGCGACGAGGTCGATGAGGACGGCGAAAAGATCACCATGTTCGGCAATGTCAAGTCGCTCGCCTACCACCAGCCCAACGAGGAGGACCCGTACCTGGTTATGCCGCCGGAGGAGGAGGACGAGGAGAGAGAGGAACTGCAGATTATGCCGACGGATAACCTGCTGTTGGCGGGTAAGGTTGAGGACGAGGTTGCTCATCTGGAGGTCTACGTCTACGAGGATGCCGCCGATAACCTCTACGTTCACCACGATATCATGCTTCCCGCTATTCCGTTGGCGCTGGAGTGGTTGGACATCCCCGTTGGTAAGACGGCTGAGGGCCGCACTACCGGTAACTTCGTGGCTATCGGAACAATGGAGCCTGACATTGAGATTTGGGATCTTGATGTCGTCGACAGCATGTACCCCAACGCGATCCTGGGACAGGGCGGTGCCGATTCCGAGAACGGCGCGAAGAAGTCCAAGAAGAAGAAGGTCAAGGCCAACGACGAATACCACATCGACTCGATCCTCGCTCTGGCTGCGAACCGCCAGCACCGCAACCTCCTGGCCTCTGGATCTGCCGATCGCACCGTGAAGCTCTGGGATCTCCAGACCACCAAGTGCGCCAAGTCCTACTCCCACCACACCGACAAGGTGTGCGCGCTGGAGTGGCACCCGACCGAGTCTACCGTCCTGCTGAGCGGTAGTTACGACCGCACCGTGGTCGCAGCGGATATGAGAGCCCCCGACTCCAAGGCCCGCTGGGGCGTGGATGCCGATGTCGAGAACGTGCGCTGGGACAAGCACGACCCGAACTACTTCTACGTGACGACGGATGCCGGTATGGTGTACCGCTACGATGTGCGCAACATCCCCGCCTCGCCCAAGGAGTCCAAGCCCGTGTGGACGCTGCAGGCACACGACTCGTCGGTGTCGTCGTTTGACGTCAACCCGACCGTGCCGGGCTACCTGGTGACCGGATCAACGGACAAGTCCGTGAAGCTCTGGAACGTTGAGAACGACAAGCCCAGCATGGTGGTGTCTCGCAAGTTGGAAGTGGGCAAGATCTTCTCGACCACTTTCGCGCCGGATGCTGATGTGAGCTTCCGCCTGGCCGTGGCGGGCAGCAAGGGCGTGGTCCAGATCTGGGACACCTCCACCAACGCGGCGGTGCGTCGTGCTTTCGTCTCGCGGATGCCTTCCCTGGAGGGAGAGGTGCAGGAACGTCTGGTCGGTATTCAGCCCGATCAGGATGAGTCGGATGAAGAGGAAGGCGTGCAGGAGGTTGAAGCGGCGCAAGGTGCGGATGGCTGGGAGTCGATGGATGAGGATTGAGTAGATGCAATGCAACAAACGAGAAGCAGAAGCTTAAAGCCGGACGCCTTCAGCCTGGATGACCGCAACAACAAAAACTGGAAGTAAAAAGAATGGATCTACGGGAGTTCTACTACTTATAGATAGAATATTTTGAGAGTACCTCTTTTGCAATGAAAACGTTGTGATACCCCAATAACAGTTTCACCTGACTAGTCAGTCAGTTAATTTAGACGTGGTTGACGAGAACGGAAGAAAGTCGATGAATAAGCTGGAAGCGATGAAAGTGATTGATGTATGAATGAAATTGATCGACCGGCAGAATACCCAAACCAGATATCGTCTGATACGGTCTCGAACACCAATCACATGCTCACGATGAGGCGAGTGGACGGGTCCGGTGATTGCATTTTTCATTTATAGCAAGCATCTCGTCTGCAAGGCCTAAAGTAGATGGAGATGTGGTAGTCAATAGATGAGGATGGTCGTGGTGAAGAATTCTGTATCTGCATCGTACATTTGTTGCTGGAGTGAGTCGTCGTGGAAACTTCATCCGAAATGTAGTAATTTGGTAGCAATGGGGTCCGGGGGTCGAGTTAGGTATTGGCGTGCGGTAAGGTGCTTACTTACTATTATGTAGATGGTCACTTTACTTTTATTAAATAGTAGTAGAGACTAATGAGTTTAATGTTGATTCCTACTCCTAGAAATAAAATGGAGAAGCAGAAGCTCATCGCACAGCATACTAAGAAAGTATACTCCTTACAAAAGGACATCGAGGCGAAAAAGCACAGGTCAAGTGTACAAGTGTATAAGCGGGTGAAAACCACCGCCCAGTTTATTAAGTTGACCCACAGGTGGGGAAACAAAGCGAAAAAGAAAAAAGAGGCACTCGGTGGTTTGACCCGCCCGGCATCTCCGTGTGGTCTTAGTTTTTTAGTTTAGTGTGGTGGTACGTACAACTCCATTGTTCAGAAAAGAACCCTCATGGAACGGATCGCGGATTCTATCCGACAGGCACGGTACCTACATTAGAGAGGGTCCAATTATGTAGGTACTAGGTAAGTAGGAGATTAAGCCTGTCTTTCAAGGACGGACGTGATGTATGTAGGAGAGAACCCCCTTCCTTTCGACGTCATGTCCAGCTTGTTTAGTTGCATGCAACTTCCCTCCTCCCCCTTCAGCTGAGACGGCAGATTGTTTCAATTCCCCACCGCTCAGGGCACATGGCGGTTTCCAATGGCCAGCCGCGATGCCGTTCCTGGCGTCAAGCCGACACCACTTGGCCTTAGTTGGTGTAGCCTCGGTGGTGCTGCCGTTTGACGACGCCCACTTGGGTTTAGTCTGTGTATCATTTTTCCTATCGTTTTTTGAGCTCGGTCGGCTTTTAATCTAGACTAGACAGTCTATACTATCTACGGAGTAGATATCTGGAGGGGATACTCGGGAGAGTCCCGCCCTATCAAGGGCTCTCTTTCTCTTTCTTCAAGGTACGTTGAGTACTATGTAGGAGGGAGAGGGGGGGGGTGGAATTTTAGATTTTTAACCTCCTGAATTCCAATACGCCAAACACGCGCCGGGATGAAGCTTTGGGTCGGTCCCTGAATTTCCTTTATTGTTTTTGTTGGTGGCCACCCGACAAAAGCAAATGACCGGGGGAAGATGGTCAAGGCTGTCCTGTCCGTCCGACCACCGAATCGAATCGCACGACTAGCCGCGCCTGACTGCCCTGCTTGTCTCCGTTGGAGCACCGGAGAAAATAAAGATGTGGGAGGAGAGGAGAGGAAGCATTAGGACTCCGTAGTTCGTTGTTATTATTATGCTGGCTGTTTCGCTTGTTTCTTTGCTGCGTAGCCCCGTAGAATGCGTATCCATGGTTGACTTTTGGCGAACAGGTGGTTCTCGACCATCGCCCGCATCATTACAAGGCGCCAGGCGAACCGTTGGAGAAAATACCGAAGGCAAAGTTTTCCCACTTTCATAACTCTATCCCACTCTTCCAGTTGGTCGGCTAAAGACCCTGGCGAACGAGTCGCGACTCAAGGATCCGATCCAAGGGTTATTGACTGGGTCGCTGAGAAAAGAGCGCAGTCGAATCAGGGCTTGCTATTAGCCCTTTTCTGCGTGCTTAAATCCATCATTTTGAATTTTAGTACCCACTCAGAGGACTGGAAAGAGAGAAAGAGACCAGAGAAGAAGCCTGAGAAAAGAGTAAAGTAGAGAAAAAGAGGGGGTAAAGACAAGGCCCAGAATCACGGCGGGAGAGTGGTTCCATCCACCTCATCCATCATTTCATCCACTCACTCACTCACTCGCCTCTTTTCCCCCCCTCTTCCCTTTTTCCTTCCCTTCCCTTTTCTCTCTCTCCTCCTCTCTTCTTCTGACCTTTACTTTCCTTCCCCATTCCTCCCTGGGGGACTCCGATTTATTTCCTGCACCATTCCTTTTTGATCATTTTTTTTCCCATTCTTCCAGTCCCAGATCTGTGTATCCTGGATTCTTTCCTTCATACTTTTATTTCTTCTTAACCCTTATTTTTATTCACATCTCGCCCGTGGCGCGTCCTGGTTGTCCGCCCCGATCTTCCCTGTACCATTATCCGTGGTGCTACCGTGCTGCTGCAGTATCTCTTCGCCCCCTTGAGTCTAGCAGCCCACCTTCCATTTCCCGAGCACCACCACTCATTCCATCCGCCCTATTTATTATTTTTCTCTGCTGTGCAAGGAAAAAAGCAAAAAAAAAAAAAAAAGGAATTAAAGAAAGAAGAGAAAGAAGAAATTAGAGGAAGTTCTGCCTTCATTTAGACACGGATTTCCTCTCCGCTGCGACAACTCGGTTCTTGTTTGACAGCTCATCCACTGTATCTGATAACGGACATTCCGGTGATCGATCTTCCATTCCTTCTCTTACTCCACCCCGCGATCGGCCATCAGCATTCTTTCCTTATACCGTCAAAGGCGTCAGTCTCTCGCGAACGAGGAGACGGTTACGGAAAACCCTAAGATAGCAAAAAGCAATATTGCTTGTACAACTATCGACGTTTCCCGGCCAGCTGCATATCTGCCATTATATCTGAGCCCGACTGCCTAGTTTGCACCTCCCAGCACTTATCGTCAATTGCGTTCTCGACTACACCTTAATTTCCCGAATATTGTCACCATGGCTTTGGCTAGAGCGTTCACCAAGCGCAGCAAGCGCCCCGAGGTCTCGGCCCCGATGCCATACCGGGAACCACATAAGCACGCTGGTCCGATCAATCGAGACAAGATTTCGGCTCCCGTGGAGTTGTTGTCGACGACGAACATGCTGGCTTACAATGCGCCCGACATCCACTCGGCAACTTCGTCTTCTACCTCGTCATTGCAGTCGCCCGACGACTCGGAAATGTCTTTCACACAACGCAGTTTTGGGTCACCTCTGACTACACCCGATGAGTCGCCCATCGAGCCAAACCCATTGCCTTCCTATTTCCCGAAGCGATCTGCCACCATCACGAGCCACCCTCGCTCCTCGACATCGACCAATTCCTCTACGGATGCGCCACTGGTTCCCAAACGGGCGCTCTCCCACACAAAGCGGACCCACCAAGAGCTTGCTCGCCAGCGTTCCTTGTCCCGCCTATCCCCGCCTCCATTGAACTCGTTGCGCAATGCATCTGCTGCACGTCAGACGCAGGATAGCTACAAGGCCGAGCCCCATCCCTTTAGCAAGGAACTCGAGCAAGTGAACGAGGTGGTCGAGGAGTTCGGTGGCACCCGTATACTCGACGACGAGGAGTTGATTCTACGAGATAAGGGATTAATGAAGTTCACCGCAGATGACTATCTCGTGGAGATCGAGGCCCTTTATGGCAGCGTGTTTGATGATTATCTTGGTCCGATAGGTACGGGGGCATGGCTTTGAATCATGACCCTGTTCGCTGTTTTACTTTCTCTACCATCTTTTCTTTACTTTTTTTTGACTTTCGAGGGATTCCGCCTGGAGGGCTCTGGATAGGAACTGGATATTTCCTTCCCTCGCCAGGATTGACTTGTGCCATGACCCACTCATATTCACTCTTTAATGTCTTGTGATCTAATTAGTCGGTTTCATCCTTTTTGAATTAGCTAGATACCACTGGGAGGAGCTTGATCTATCATCCCCAGATTTGCTTTTTTTTTTTCTTTCTACTGGTTGCACAATGGTGGTTCCATGTTGCGTGGATCGAATTATTCGCTTTGCTGACTGGCTATGTGACGGACTGACATGTCTAACGAGGTTCTCGGATCTGTATACTTCTTCCTTAGCGTCGTTTTGAATGCGAAAGACACTTGCCAGAATTGCTTTTTATTGGATTTATCTTGTAACAATGGAACGATACATCAGACAGTTCTGCATCTCATGCATGTGCATACATTTGCGTACAGTATCTCTCTTCCTTGATCCACCTGGTGGACTTCGAAGATATGTATAACCCGATCGGGTAAGGCTGTTGCGCGCTGGTCACGCGCTGGTCACGAGCTGGCAGCCTGAGGCTCCACATCCGCCCCACACCCAAAAAATTTCACTGTCGAGTTTCTGCTTCTCCGCTTCGTCTGCTTTCTTCCTAGTTCTTACTCCAGACGGGCTCCCCTTCAACTGCTGGTCTGTCTCCCCCTCACACACTCGTGCATCGCAGTGTTCTCAGGGTGCGTGTGCTGGACAGTCCGATGAAGGTATCTTTCGCCTTCCTTACTCCCAAGCGCGCTTGTTATCTGTAGCAACAGCAGGTGGATCATCTCTCGACTTGCAACTGGTCGGGTCGTGTGCTCTGCTTACAAGATCTGTTCCCATCTCTTAATATCCCACTCCTCGCGTGTGATACTGTGAGAGTGCAACTCATGATTGGATCTGGGGTCCTGTTTCAAGCACTCCCCAGCCATTTCATTATTATAGAACCGTCGATCCTGGCATGGTCGTCCTTGCCACCGCCTCCCGCACCGCAACGATCGCACCCAGGCCGACGACCAATTCATCCAAGATGCTAGTTACATCATCACCTGTGTCCATTCTAAAAACGCCTAAGAGCACCCCATCCACGACTGGGATTAAGCACAGGATGATGATGGGGGACGACTACAGCGATCTCTCCCTGTCCCCGTCGTCCTCGTCCGACGCGGAAACCAGCCCGAGTCCTCGGAAGCGGACGCGAGTGAAGTTTGATAAGGAGGTTTTAATGGTGCCATATAAAGAGGAACCTGAGCCGGAACGGAAGCCAGAGAAGAGCGCAGCCGTCGTCCGCGAGGAGGTGCGCAGGGCCATCCAACGGCATGTCTCTGGCACTGACAGCGAGGCGTACGACCGCATCAAGGAGACTTTTGCGGTGGACCCGCGGCGCCGGGATGAGGACAACATGTTTGCCTACGATGTACCTACACATACGTCCTTGAGACATCATCTCCTGGGTCTTTTGTCAAATGTTGCGTCCTTGGATCGCAGTTGCAACGGACTGGTCCAAGCTGTGCTGAATAGTGTATGGCTGGGCCGGGACGAGTCGTACATCAAGTTGTATATACGCTTTCTCGGTAACCTTGCCGCTGCCCAGGGCAGCTATCTGGGGGCTGTGCTCAAAATGCTGGTCAACTTTCTGGGAGAGCTTCCCAAGGACACGGGGAAAATCCCTGGTTACCCGTCTGTGCATGTGCCGGTGCTTTACTCCCGCGTGCACTTGGCTTTGCGCCATGTTATGCAGTTGATTCCGTCTGGTAGTGGAACGCTGTCGCCTCTTTTGTCTGCTCAATTTCCGTTTGCTTCTGATTCGGCCAAGGCCAACATTGCGTATACGCGGAACCTCATCCGAGTGATCAGCTATGCCCCGGAGCTTCAGGGCGATATCCTTTCCCTGATTACGGAAAAGCTTGTCAAGATTGATGTTCACATTCAGGTGGACCTGGAGGACATCGAGGATGAAGTCGGTGAGGATGTCCTGCAGGGAGTCTCTCCGGAATCAGTCATGATCGAGGAAGATGATTCGGAAGACGACGATGACAACGACTCCGTCCTTAGCGACGATTCGGTAGACGATGAATCCAAGCGAATCAAGGCCATTCGGGACAACATCCTCAAGCTGGATGGCATGATCGACACCATGTTCGAATACTATGCGCCTCCATTCACGCTAGGCTCCCTGGACGACAAGGAAAATGCCTTCGATCTTCTGATGAGCCATTTCCAGAACATTATCCTCCCCACATACCGCTCGCGCCACTCCCAGTTCCTCCTCTTCCACTTCTCCCAGTCATCTCCCATCCTTGTGGACCGCTTTGCCGCGATGTGCACCGAGCTTATCTTCAACAAGACGCAGCCAGCCATCATGCGTCAATCGGCTGCTGCTTATCTCGCCAGCTTCGTTGCTCGCGGAGCTCATATCTCTGGCGAGGTTGTCCGGGATGTGTTCGATCTGCTGGGCACGTATCTGAACAGCCTCCGTCTGGATTATGAAGCCACCTGCCGGGGCCCCGACCTCCGCCGCTATGGCCCCTTCTACTCCACGGCTCAGGCCCTGCTCTACATCTTCTGCTTCCGCTGGCGAGACCTGACCACCGCTGCGCTGGAGGGCGACACCCCAGACCAAGTTGACGAGCTTGAGCCGGAGGACATTATGTTCCCGCCCTCCGTCAAGGAAGTTCTGCACCAGGCCATCCACTCCAAGCTGAACCCGCTGAAGGTGTGCTCGCCCGCGATCGTGTCCCAGTTCGCGCGGATGTCGCAGCACTTCAACCTGATGTACGTGTTCAGCATCCTGGAGACAAACAAGCGACTGCGCGTGTCCTCATACCGCAGCATCGGCGCCATGGCCGATCCGCGCTTCAGCCAGGTCGAGCGGGAGATTCGCGCCGGCGACGATCTCGGCTACCAACTAGACGCCTACTTCCCCTTTGACCCCTACCAGCTCCCGCGCAGCCGACGCTGGGTGGAGAACGACTACGTCCACTGGCGCGGAATCCCAGGTCTAGATGAAGACGACGACTCGGACAGCGAAGCGGACGATAACGAGTCGGATGAAGACCTCAGCGATGGGACCGAAACGGATGACGAATTGTGATGCGTCAAGACCTTTCAAAAGAACAACCCAAAAGTGCTTCTTTATTTCTCTCTCTCTCTCTCTCTCTGTCTCTCGTTCCATTGGCGAGCACAATACCCCCAATCTGTTTGCGATTATGCCATCTCAGCAGGTTTCTATGTTCCTCTGAAAAGAAGAAAAGTTCTCTTGATATCTAGTTTTTGTTATTTTATGGGTGGGAATTTAGCGCGGCGTACGGAGATTGATTCGATTCGATTTGATTTATACACGCATGCATACATCGCATATGCCTGCTTGTTATCTGCCTGTCTACGTTGCCAGGTCTGCTATAGTGAGACTGGCTCCGGGATGGTTTTATAATGATGGACGATGGACGATGATGGATGGAATGGATGGAATGGACAGATGGTATGATGACATCTGCAGGGTAGAAGAGAATGAACAATCAACAGATTCAAAAAATTAAAACTCCTGGACGCATGTAAACATGGAAGACCAGTGATAGTAAGTAGTTGTTATTACATGTTTCGACCGATCAAAATGATTATTAGGTCAAGTAAGTACCTGTTTAAGCTAAGAGTGTCAACATCGAAGTCCATGCCCATGGATGTCCAAATCCAGCTCAACTTACTTGATCTACCTCGGCACATTGAAATGATATACTGATCATTATGTAAAAGAGAACGAGGAGGGAGTTTCCCGTTTCTACATGTGAAGATGTTGGTACCGGGATGATTTGGAAATTACAACTAAGTAATTCTAGTAGTACTTAGTATGGAGAAGGAGCTTTTAATACAGTAGGAAGGATTAGTACTACTATTGGTAGAGAATGTTTGGTTGGAAAGACCGTTGGCTGTTACCCGCCAATTATTTCTTTAAACGATGATGCAAGTCAATCGCTTATGCATGCAGTAACTTCGGTAGTAATCAATGATCGTCGTCTAGTGTACATGTAGATGTGCGTGTGTGTAGTAAGGATGATGTAACGATTCTAATGATGATCGAAACCCAAGGTAACGCCAATGACTCCAAAGAGTTATAAAAATAGGATGTATAAAAAAAAGGGATAGTTTATACAGACCAGGATGTCAAGAGGGAAAAAGAAAAACGCAATGAGTTATATGTACCGCCCATCCTTTGAGGTAAGAGGATGGGTTTACGCACCAAAGATATGCTTCATATCAGCACAGGCATCGCGGTAGAGAATATCAACTTTATCCTGATCGCGGAACGGATTGGGCGATTTATCCCACGCGTGGGGCGCCTTTTCGATCATCATGGCGCGGACATGTTTGTTGATATTCTGCAGACGTCGCACAAATACCTGGCCCTCCTTGAGAAGCATATCCCATTCGCAGATATAGAAGAAGATATCGTGCGGCAGGGCATCGGCGAGGATCTCATCCGTGGCGTGCACGGGCGACGCATAGGGCGAGACCCGCTCCTCGCGCGTAGGCAAGTAGGACTCATCGAAGAGGTCGGTGAAGAAGGCTGGGAGGGTCTTACTGGGCATGAGGCTCATGGCGCGACGATGGTCACGCGACTCTTCGAAGTCGAGGATTGGGTACCAGCAGAAGAGGGCAACGATATTGAGTTCGCTGGTGGAGGCGGCGGATACTAGTTGCTGGGTGGAGTCGTATGGGCCCAAATTGGGCGGACTGCTGCGAGGTTCGAGGGCGTCTTGTTGGTCGCGTTGCTGCTGTTGTTGCTGCTCACTTAGGATACTGCGCAGGCGGAGGGGTACGGTGATGGCGAGGTTACCACCAGCGGAGAAGCCGGACAGGGCGATGCGCGAGACGTCCAATCCCAGCTCGACGGCGTGGGCAGCGAGATACTGCAGGGCGAGGACGCCGTCGTCAACGGCGGCGGGAAACGGATGTTCGGGAGCACGACGGTATCCGACGCTGACCAGCACGGCACCGACTTCTCCGAGCACACACTGCGCCCAGCGACTGTCATCCGTGGGGCATCCTAGCGTGAAGCCTCCTCCGTGGAAATTGACCACGACGGGCAGACGGCGACCTTCTTTGCGAGTGATGGGGTAGTTGGGTGGCGTGTAGAAGCAGAGACGGATCTGACCTGAACCGGTGGGAATAGTGCGAACAAAGGCAGGCCGCGGAGGTCGCGGAGGAGTGACATCGTGCAGGAACATGCCAATGCGCATTAGAAAGCGCCAGGCAATGGCTTGGACATAGAGCCACCAGCGGGAAGACGGCATGGTGAAATGGCCATATAGCGGAGAGAAGCGTTCCAAAAAGGCAAGTAAGTTGTGAAAAGAAGGTTACGAGAGATCCGAGGCAGGAACAGATGGGGAAGAGGGAGAGAGTGTGTGAGAATGCAAAGAGGTTAACTCCGAAGGAGCGCCCGGAAGGTCGGAGGCAACACAGACCTGACCTGACCTTCCGTTCAAGAATAGTAATCAGTTGATTGGAATGGAAGGCGATTAATTTACGTTTGCAGAGGGATTAAGGGCCGTCTGATCCACGGAAAGCACCTGCCGAGGCAGACGAAGATCCAAAGTAAGAAGAAGCCAAGAGATGATGGTTGGGATGACACAGAAAGGTAGTCATGCAGTTCATGCAAGAAGTTGACAAGAAAAAAGAAGGGAAATTAGAATTGGGAATGAGAACAGCTCTAGTAGTTGGCAAAAAAAGAGTCTTGGACCACATCATCGGTCCTTCATTCCTGAACTGGACCCTGTTTCCACTCTGTAGTAATCTTTTTATTACATAGTATTTTTTAATTGATATCCAGGGTTTTGCATCATCACAGGCATGACATCACTGCCTCGGGATCGACCCGCCAGCCTTTATTTGCTCCCTCGTATTTCTTCTTTTACTTTGCACGCTTATGCTGTTAATAATTCGATTACTTCTCTCACATTCTGGCCAACTCTTGGGTTTGTAAGGCCCCTGCTAAGCTCTCCTACTAACCTTAATTGTCTTGGAAAACCCTGGGCCCAACCCAACTCTTCCTTCTACTTATAAGCGCTGACGGTACCCTCTCTCTCCCCCTCCATCCTCCTCCCCTCCTCTCATCTCCTCCCGTCATTGACGGTCATTCTTCCTCATCTTTACCCCTTCAATCCTATTTATCACATCACATGGGAGTTGACTCCCATCCTCCCGCTCCCATTATGTCTATCAAACGTGCGCTCTCCAAGATTGTACCCAACAAGTCGTCGCCCGACGATGAGTCGAGTCACAGTACCCCGGCCTCGGCTGCATCCATGTCTCCCCGCCGCAGCATTCTCAGCAACTTCCTGCGCGATCGCGACTATGCCTCTTCCTCTGATGACGGCTCAGATGACTCTTCGTCGCCTGGCAGCATCAGCAAGAATCAGCAGAAACGCCTGGCACGTAAACAGCGCAAAGAGAAGTCCCGTCTGAGCGAGGAGCGTCATTCTGACGAATCCGATTCGCGCCGGAAGGAGGAAGTCGCTAATGCCACCCGCGAGGAGACCTCGGAGATGAAGGCTCGCTATGGCGAATTGCCGCTGATACAGTCCCGGACACGCCCTCGTGAGGTCCGTACCAATCTAGATGCCATCTCCGAGTCCTTGGTGGGCCAGCAGGTCTGTTTTACAGCTCGTCTACACATCATCCGTCGCATGAGTGCCAAGCTGGTCTTCCTCGTGTTCCGCCAGCAGCTGCTCACCTTCCAGGGTGTTCTGCATGAGGAGGCAGGCGTCAAGTCCATCGCCATGATTCACTGGGCCGAGCATCTGCGTTTGGGTTCCATTGTCCGTGTGCGGGGAACCATCCAGAAGCCTCAGGTGCCGATCTTGGGCTGTACCATTCACGACGTCGAGATCTCCATCGACGAGCTGCACCAGGTCGTGCGTCGCGAGGAGCCCGTCCCATTCAGTATCTATGAGGCAGAGATTCAAACGGCCGAAGAGGAGCGCATCGAAGGCCGCCGCAGTCACATCCCCGATCGCGTTCGTCTCACCAATCGTCTACTCGACTTGCGCACCCCGACCTCTCAGTCCATCTTCCGCATTCAATCCGCCATCTGCAACCTCTTCCGATTCGCTCTCGATGAGCAAGGCTTCATGGAGATCCACACGCCTAAGCTGCAAGGCTCTGCGACCGAGTCAGGCGCCAGTGTCTTCCACGTGCAGTACTTCGGGCGAGATGCTTTCCTGGCGCAGAGTCCACAACTAGCCAAGCAGATGGCTATCGCCGCCGATTTTGGTCGTGTATACGAGATTGGCGCTGTGTTCCGAGCGGAGAACTCCAATACCCATCGCCATCTGACTGAGTATACTGGGTTGGATATCGAGATGGCCATCGAGGAGCACTACCATGAAATGTTGGAAGTGCTGGATGCCGTGATCAAGTCCATTCTTCAAGGTGTGTATGGTCGTTACCGCCGCGAGGTGGAGACTGTGAAGCACCAATTCCCGTCAGAAGATGTTGTGTGGCTGGAGAAGACCCCCATCCTGCGCTTCTCGGACGGTATCAAGATGCTGAATGACTCTGGCTGGCGCGACGAGGACGGCAACCCGCTGCCAGAGGATGAGGACCTCCACACTCGCGATGAGATTCGCCTGGGTGAGTTGGTCAAGGAGAAGTTTGGCACCGACTACTACATCCTTGATAAATTCCCTGCCAGCGCACGCCCCTTTTATACCATGCCCGACCCCGAGGATGACCGATTCACCAACTCGTTCGACATCTTCATTCGCGGTCAGGAGATCGTCTCTGGTGGCCAACGTATTCACGACCCCCACATGCTCGAGGAGAACATGCGTCGCTCTGGCATTGACCCCGATACCATGGAAGACTATATGGAGGGCTTCCGCTGGGGTGCGCCACCCCACGCTGGAGCAGGTGTTGGTCTGGAGCGTCTGCTGATGCTGCTTCTGAAACTGGGCAATATCCGCCTAGCATCCCTCTTCCCTCGCGACCCCCGCAGCTTTCCAGCCAAGCCGGTGGCGGCACAACTGCGGCACCCAGAGTCATCGACTATTGATCCTCCGTGGGCGCGCGACAGGAAGGGTGCCATCGCACAGGATACGAGTCAGCTCCAGCCGCTCGAGCATCTCATTGCCAATTACGGCGATGCTACCTCCACTTCCTGGGGCGATGAGCGCTTCAAGATCTGGCGTGACATGGGCACGGGTGCCGCTATCTCCTACGTGCCCAGCAGCAGCAACTACGTGATCATTCCAGGCAACCCCTTGTGCGATCCCAAGCAGTACCGCCAAGTGATCACACAGTTCCTGCAGTGGTTGCGGCGCGAGACAAAGTACAAGCCCGTCTGGCTGCTCTGTTCCGCCGAAGTCGAGACCATCCTGGGCGAGCGCATGGGCTGGCGAACTCTGTCCTGCATTGCCGAGGAGCGCGTAAACCCAGCCCGCAACATGGCAGCTTCGGACGGCGAAATCGCTCGCAAGATCCGACACGCCGAAAGCGAGGGCGTCAAGATTGTGACCGTGAACAGAGGCGAGATGGTCTCCGACGAGGTCCGCCAGAAGATCGACCAGCGCGTCCAGGACTGGCTCAACAACCGCAAGGGTACACAGGTACACTTGTCCGAGATCCGCCCCTGGCGCGATCCCGAGCACCGCTGGTACTTCTATGCCGTCGACAAGGAGGGCACCATCTGCGCCTTTGTCGCCCTGGCCACGCTCGCCCCCGTCCACGGCATGCAGATCAAATACAGCTTCGACTTCCCGGGCTCCCCTAACGGCGTTATCGAACACATCGTCACCCACGCTATTCAAACAGCCGCCGCCGCTGGCGTCAAGTCCTTCACATTCGGCGCCGGCGCCATGTCCTCGCTGACCCCCGGCCATAACCTCCGCGGCGCGCGCATCAAGATGCTCCAGCACACCTACGACACCATGGCCAAGCAGTTCCATCTGGTGCGCAAGAGTGAGTTCCGGGCTAAGCTTGGCGCCGAGGACGACCCGCTCTATATTGCTTATCCGCCGCACGGCCTGGGCAGTAAGGGTATGCGTGCGGTGCTGCATTTCTTTGAAGATTGATCAATCTACCTGCGAAATTAAACATCCTCTCTACTCTATTTACTAATCTTGGAATGAGATCATGGCGTGTTTGTTATGGTGATCTGACTACAGGTAGATCTATGTGGCTTTTGGATGTATTTCGTTCATGTTATGTCATGTCTTTGTGCTTTATTTGCTTGGGATGGATGGTTCGCATTAGATATTCCCCCTATTGTTTTTGTTGTCTTGGTTGTGGAGCGATGGATATGACTGTATGTTTTAGGGCTACTTTTGTTCTGTGTTTCCTCTCGTTTTTGGATGTGCTTTCATACAAAGACGGTAAGATAGACGCAGCGCCTGTGTAATGAAGCCATGTTGTATGTATGTATTGATGTCTCGATGAAAGAAAGAATGTCATATTAATTCGTCACTAAATATTGGTAAAATCATAATATGTAAACAGTAATCATACAAGTGCCGAAAGTACCTAGTATACTAATATGCAAATATCATCCACAGTAATCATGCACGCATGTATATACCTGTCCAAGGAAAGATTCATAAATCACCGCACCTTCTTCCCTTCTCTCACCCCATCTACTACTACCTCCCCATCCCCATCCACATCCTCATCTCCCTCCTCCTTCTCCCTCTCCTCAGCCATATCATCTACCACTCTCCCCAACTCCCCAACCACCCACTTCCCAACCAAAACAGCCACTACAGCCACAATCACCCCGTAGCACGCCGTCGGCACCAACGACCTCGGAAACACATTCCCCAGAAACGGATCCAGAATCACATCCACCGCCACGGGCGGCACATGTGTCATCAGCTCCTTATCCGTGGTATAGTAGTCTGCCGCGGCGCGGATACGCAGGAACAGGACGGAGTCCGTGATGGGCTCGTTGCTGTCGAGGGGGGTTTCGGGGTTGAAGTTGGTGGTGGTTGTGTCGTCGAGGTCGAGGTTGAGTTCGGAGTTTGGAGTGCTGGCGAGGCGCAGCGAGGAGTAGTTTGTTATGGAGGAGAGGAGGAAGGTGTCTGAGAGGGCGTGCGGGAGGGTGTATGTTGTTAGGGTGAAGGAGGTTGGTTGCTTTTTTCATAGAGTTAGTATAGACTAGGTATGAGGGTCGATGGGTGGGTTTGGGTTTCGCTGGGGGTAGGGTGGAAGGGTCACGTACAGTTGCTAGCCAGCATATGCGTACTTCATAGCGCCGACCAGGTGTGAGGTTTTGGAGGAAGAACCAGGATTCAGTCCCTGGTGAGGACTGGGTTGGGAAGGATGCGTTGAGGTGTGTGCGGAGGATGGGGTGGGAGGGGGAGAGGCGCGCGAGACCTAGGTCGTCGATT